TATCTATATTTTCTAAAGTTCAAACTTTAAAGTAATATATTTTCTACGATAACCAACTAATTATGCGTAAATTTTGAAAAATTAGAAAAGAAGATAAATAAAAATATGAAACAACGATAATATGGACTGATTTTGGATTTGGTATTTCATTTGTTTAGTACAACAATTAATATACCGTAGAGTAAAAACATGGTAACAACGTCATTATACGATCGAATGATCATGGTCATGAATGATTAACACATGCGATGAGTTCACTTTTGAGAATAAAACTGACATTTAATGTCAATTGTCCAACATGCGTTAAAGATTCAATGAAAAATTGGTAATCTGATTTCTTGATTATAGTCTGGTTTTAGTTTCAATTGGGATATCAATTATTTATCTATATATACATTTTTGGATGACTTTTAGCAAATAAATCCTGGAGTTGGAATGTATTTACGGATGAATGCCATTGGCATTAATTATTTAAATTTGAAAAATATTAATTAAAGATATTACCAACACGATTTCGAGAATCATAAATTCATATCTTCCTTAATTTTCTGAGTCATTAATGTGATAATCTTTAGGAAATATTTCTCTGTAAAAAAAAAATCCACATTAATGAAGGCATTAAAATCGACACTAACAATTAAATTATTTAGATATTCAATTATTTTAAGATTCTTATATCTTATTTGATATTTTTTTTTAATATCTCATTCTTTAATTACTGTGTTTAGAATTTATTGGTTGTTACCTATTTTTTGGTGAAATTTATTGGTTGTTACTTAATAAGTAATTATGGTGCGTTTATTTTAGTTAATATCTAATTTAAAGGATTTGTTTTCTTTTATTATTAATCTATATATACATTTTTGAATGACTTTTAGCAAATAAATCCTGGAGTTGGACCTTATTTACGGATGAATGCCATTGGCATTAATTATTTAAATTTGAAAAATATTACTTAAAGATATTACCAATACGATTTCGAGAATCATAAATTCATATCTTCCTTAATTTTCTGAGTCATTAATGTGATAATCTTTAGGAAATATTTCTCTGTAAAAAAAAAAATCCACATTAATGAATGCATTAAAATCGACACTAACAATTAAATTATTTAGATGTTCAATTATTTTAAGATTCTTATATCTTATTTGATATATTTTTTTTAATATCTCATTCTTTAATTACTGCGTTTAGAATTTATTGGTTGTTACCTATTTTTTGGTGAAATTTATTGGTTGTTACTTAATAAGTAATTATGGTGCGTTTATTTTAGTTAATATCTAATTTAAAGGATTTGTTTTCTTTTATTATTAATAAATGAATAACATGTATAGAAATAAAAGATTTTTTTGCGACTCCATAATAAAAATATTAAACTCTTATTTTCTACATTTCTTACACATAATATCCTCTTATTCAATAACAAAAAATATATATTACATATTTTTTAAAATATTTATAATATTTAAATTATATAAAAAATTTGTAATATTAATATTATTTCAACTCTATACAAATTTAATATATATGTATATATATCTTATGGGAACCATTTAAAAGAAATTTTTAAATTGACTTGAATTATATAGCTTTTAAATAAAAGTATTATTAAAAAGAAAAATAACTAAATAATGTTTAATTTCACGGGACGGGTAATATGATGGGACGGGTTTGGGTTGATATTTATAAAAGATCGTATACCACGGGTGAAATCCTAAAATTAACAATCAAAATAATCTATCAAACAAATTACATTTTGATTTTTTTAAGAAAATATAGCCCCGCGGTGTACCGCGGGTTAAAATCTAGTTACATTAGTATAATCCCAACAAAGGAGTTCCTGGTTTTGGCCAAACGGAAAACGTAAAAATGCGAACAAAGTCGTTGTAAATTTCCACGTTTATGCGGACATAGATCAAACCGGTGGGTCCGGTCCGACCAATGCTAGATCTCTTACGCATGTGATCACAAGATCTTGCTTCAATAAGAAAATAAAAATAAAACCTAAAGAGTAAATAACTAAATATAGTTGTAATCAATGTTTAAGAAAGGATTAGGCATTAAGCAGTGGTAATTCAGCGTCTAATGGGTAAAGCGCTTAATCGGAACTTATACGATTTTAGGCAGTTTATACGTTTACAACATAAAACATTATAAATATGATATTATCGAAAAACATATAAAAATATATATTAGGAAAATAATAATATTAAATCGTAAACAAATATTAGACAAAAACATTTCTTTAATTCATATCAAACAAGATATGAATGTTTAAAACTATTTATATGGAGATAAAACATCTAAATTTAAATCTATGTATTTAAAAATTGAAAATACACTAAACAAGATTTATGCTATTTTAGACGGTCGAAACGATCATGTAGGTGTCACCTAAGCGCCTAGCGCCTAGTCGGAACGTAGACGACTACCTAGACCGCTTTTAAAAACACTAGTTGTAATAAATAAAGTCTGCTTTTAATTAACAGAAAATCCAAATACGGAACTAATTCACTCACATAAAGCGGCCATAACCTATGTAATCCGGTTTTAGCGAATTGATATTGAATTGAAATTGTTTTAACCAAAACAAAAATCAAAATATAAACAATACCAAGAAAAATTAAACCGGTTTTGTTTACATATGTACTGACGAATTATATTTGAATCAAACCAAATTAGAATGAAATTAACCGATCACAGTTGAGGGCTTTACAAAAATCATTTTATAGAAGTATTTTTGTTTAAAATTGGATCCAAACAGAATTATTTGAAACTCGACGGCCCTTTTCTTTTATTTTATGTTCTATAAAATATTTTCAAAAAACATCAAATCCAAACCAAAATTGAACCAAAAATCGGTTGGATGTCTTCACTTCTCTAAAGAAAAATATATCTATCAAATTGATTGTACAAATTTGTTTTCCCTAAATTGTGTACCACTAAGATATACTTGAACATCATCAACAAAAAACTATCGAAAAAGAATGATAAGATAAGTGATTAGTCGTAGAAAAGATAGTGATTAGTTAATACCGTTATAGTGGTCCATCTGAGTGGTCACAGTGCGAAAGATAGGCTAATATAACTCATGTCCACAAAACCTATCAATTTCACATCCAATAGGCGAAACAGAGCACATAAATATTTTAACTGTAAAGTTACTACATGTAAATCTGCGTAAATATGTATACATGATGATTACTTGAATTAATTGAATACCACGTTATTGTTTTAAAAAGAAACAATTAACTTTTTGACATAATGTTTTTTTTTTTAAATCTAATCTTACCTTGAAATTAATCAACATTATTCTCATTTGTCTAATTATGTGTTTGTAGAAAATATACTAACCATAAGGATATTTGTTTAATGGTACGAGATTTTAATTGACCGACATGAAATCATGAGAAACGAGGAGCATTGATCCACAATATCTTTTGTCTTTCAACCTCATGATTCATTTTTTTTTGTGATTCGTTGTATTAATTAAAATTAAATTATTATTATCCCATGCATATTAGATCATGCATGCCCTGAGTAACGAAGATTGTCATGCCATATTTATTTACACACAATGACACAAATCTGGAGTATTTAAAATAGTTGGCTTACCTTAAATAAACTTTTTTTTGACATACTATTTTTTTACAGATATATGAAATAAATTAATATTTTAAAAATAAACAACAAAATGGTGAATAATAATTTTGATAAGTATTTAATGAATTAAATAATTACACAGTAATGATTACCTTAAATAAACTTTGTTTACATCTCCATAATGCTTGTTAGAGAAGGTAAATTAACATATTTGGTGGTATCCGCAAATATACAGAAACAATTCAAATATAGAAAACCAAAAAAAAAAAACAAATTATTATAAATTTGAAATATCTACTATACATTTTTGCAGCAGTTTTTGGGGTACCCAAATCGGGTCAAATTTGTTTAATTTTGACCCGAAAATCTTCAATCGGATCTTTCCTTAAATTTTGGCAAAATTAAAAAACGAAAATAATTAATAAAATCTAAAATATATATACTTTCTCAACTAATTACTATATTTAAACGCTTTATTTATGGTATATTCTCCACGATTTTTATAGATAAAGAAATCAAATATGATGATTTAATGCTAATATAACAAATTTGCACTAATTTCCTAAAACCTCTCTACCTAATTTAAACATAAATATATGATTCTTATTTCACTTTTATTTGATCTTATATTTATATTATTTTAAATTATTATAAAATATATAAATAGTTAGTAAATTTTAGTTTTTTTTTTTCTGCATATGTTACAATTCAAATTTTTTAAAACGGACATATATTACTCAATCGATGAATAAAAATATGTGTGTAATCTATATTAATATTTTTAAGAACAAATTGAGCATTTAATCATGTCGTTATTTTATTCAGATCCGAAATTGAGTCATTCAGATCTTTCTTTAATTTTTACAATTATCTAAAATGGGACAGTATATCACGGGTGAAATCCTAATTAGTATTTTAAGATACAATTATAAATTGTTTTTACGGGTTGGTCCAAAAACACACACTAATTTAAAAATATACATGGAAACTATTTGAAAGCAACTTTCAAATTAACTCGAATTATATGACATTTAAATAAAAGTGTTATTAAAAAAATAACAAAATGATGTTTAATTTCATTTTAGATTATATGGTTGGACGGGTTTGGGTCAATATTAATACGAGACAATATACCACAGGTGAAATCCTATAAATAACAAATCAAAATACAATTATACAATCTTAAACACTAAACAAAACAAATACAACTTAAAATTTTTTATTTTAGATACAACGCATGTGACCCGCGGTATACAACAAAAAATATTATACACAATAAATTCATCAATTTATAAAAATAAAAAAATCAAATAATTAACCCGCGGTGTACCGCGGGTCATATCCTAGTATATTAAAAAAAAAGAAAAAAAAAATAGGTGGAGGGTTTACATTGGGGTTTTGAGAGAGAGGCGCTTCTCTGCTGCAAATTGTTTCTCTCTTCCCTTTATAAAACCGCTTCCGTCGTCAATGGCGTGAACCTAAACTAAAAAAACCATTCTTCTCTCTTTTCATTTTTTTCATTCTCTCTCTCTCTTCTCCATCGTTTTCACACTTTTCTCGCCGCCCTTTATCCTTATCCGATAAACCCATCAAAACCCATAGATAAAAACAGACTCTTTGTTCTTTAAACAGAGATCGAAAATCCAGAGCCGCCGGAATATACAACCGCCGGTTACTCTCAGGTCTCTCTTTCACTCTCTGGTTACGACTCTTGTGCGTTTTTGTGTCTCTGATTTTCTCTGTTCTGGGTTTATTACAAATGAAAATGCAACAGCTTTTATTTTTTTCTGGTCATCCCCTGTTTCTGCTTCTTCGATAAAGGAGATGTTAAATCTAGAAAGACCCAAATTCTCTGTTAAGCATTTCTCAAAAGCTTCACGCTTTCTCTGTTTCTGGTTCTAGACTGATTTGGTTGGTGATATCTGTGCAGGGTTAGTTGATTTCGTTCGATTAAAATATCAAAGAAGATGAAGTACGTGCTTGTAACAGGAGGTGTTGTGAGTGGGTTAGGGAAAGGAGTTACAGCAAGTAGTATTGGTGTTCTTCTTAAAGCTTGTGGTCTTCGAGTTACTTCTATCAAAATCGGTACTTTTACTTCTGTGTTACTCTTCTCTCAAGTGATGTTTTTTTGCTTACGGAGCACTCAATCTTTCAGATCCTTATCTAAACACTGATGCTGGAACCATGTCTCCATTTGAACACGGTGAAGTTTTTGTCTTGGACGATGGTGGTGAGGTAAATAAATATGACCTTTTTTTTTTTAACTTTTTGAAAAACTTCAGCTTTTGAATCTTGTTTTTTGGAAAAAGGTGGATCTTGATCTTGGAAATTACGAAAGGTTTCTGGATATCAAATTAACCAGAGACAATAACATCACTACTGGGAAAATTTACCAGGTAAGAAGATTTAGATCTCAACTAATTTGGAGGTTGATTGATGAGTTAGGTTTACTTAATCTTCTTATACACTTCTCTGTCTGTGTCACAGCATGTTATTGCTAAAGAGAGGAAAGGAGATTATTTGGGAAAGACTGTTCAGGTAATAAATTAGCTTTTCACTTCTCTCTTTTTTCATTTTATGGTCTGGTGTTGGTTTCTTGTAAGTCTTAAAAAGTGTTTTGGTTGTTAATGATTTTAGGTTGTTCCTCATGTCACTGATGCAATTCAAGATTGGATTGAGAGAGTTGCGGTTATTCCTGTTGATGGAGAGGAGGGTCCTGCTGATGTTTGTGTTATTGAATTAGGTGGAACTATAGGTATACAAAAAAAAAAAAAAGAGTAAAACCGGATATTTGTTTTTGTTTTCCTGGTTTTGCTTCTTTTGTGTAAACAGAGATTGTTTATGTTTGCAGGTGATATTGAATCCGCGCCTTTTATTGAGGCGCTTGGCCAATTCTCTTACCGTGTTGGTAAGTATCATTTTCCTCATACCATTTGAATCCAAAAGAAAAGATGAGTGGATTTTGTGGATATGATGAAAATTAACTACTGTATCTTTTGGTTGGTGGTTGAGTTCAGGCCCAGGGAATTTCTGTCTGGTCCATGTCAGCCTCGTGCCTGTGCTTAATGTTGTTGGTGAACAGGTATAAATCTTTTCCTTAAATGATGCAGCCATGATGTGACAGCATTTGATTCTATGTTTACATTATCTCCGTTTGTTTTGTGTGTTCTTTCAGAAAACTAAGCCGACACAGCATAGTGTCAAGGGGCTACGAGGCTTGGGCTTGACGCCGGATATCTTAGCTTGCAGGAGCACAAAGGTTCGTTTTTTTTGCTTGCATCTCCATTTAGATTTTTGTCCTGATATAAAAGTCTCAACCTTTTGCTTCATGAAGGCACTTGAAGATAATGTGAAAGAAAAACTAGCTCAATTTTGCCATGTCCCGGTAAGATGCGGCCTTTTGTCCATTGTTGTTATGTTCTTTACATGAAATCTCTTTAATTTACCAGCTTATGGTTCTTGTTTCAGCTTGAGTATATTTTCACTCTCTATGATGTTCCCAACATTTGGCATATTCCTTTGTTGCTAAAGGTACCTTTTATCAACTAAAATTTGTTGTAGTCACTACACCGGGTTTTATAAATCATTAAGACTACAATGCTCAGTTCACATATTTTGCTTGTACAGGATCAGAAAGCTCATCTGGTAATCTCAAAAGTGCTCAATCTTGCTAGGTATTATGTATCGTGTCTTGTTTTGTCTTTTGTTTTCTTGGTATGTGGCTTGCTTGATTTGCGACTGAAATGGATTGGAACTGATCTTTAATTGTTAATGAAACAGTATTCTTAATGAGCCTTCTCTTGGGGAATGGACTTCCAGAGCTGAACTATGTGACAATTTACATGTGCCGGTGGGTCTCAGCTCTCAATTACTCCTTAGAAACCGTAACCTTAACATCTCTTTCTTAACGCATCAAATGATTTTACAGGTGAGAATTGCTGTTGTAGGGAAATATACCGGCCTCTCTGATGCTTATCTATCTGTCCTAAAGGTAGATCTTACGCATCACTTCTCATGGGATACTGTCTGGATAACAAATTGATTTCCTCGCCTTGGTTCTCACATTTGGATAACTTGTTTAGGCTCTCTTACATGCTTCTGTGGCTTGTCGCAAAAAGCTCGTAGTTGATTGGGTTCCAGCTTGTGATCTCGAAAAAGAAACTGAGAAAGAGGTGTGTAAAACCGATACTGCATGTTGATTACACATCTATGTTTTTACTTGGTCACAAATTTTAATGCAGAGTAACTTTTTGTTTTGTTTCGTTTAAGCAGAATCCAGATGCGTATAAAGCTGCTTGGAAGTTGCTAAAGGTTTGAAACGTTTGCCATTTTACAACTTTAATCATCTAGAAGCCTTTTTTGCTCATCTCTATTGGTATCTTCTTCAGGGTGTAGATGGAGTTCTTGTCCCTGGAGGTTTTGGTGATAGGGGAGTGGAAGGGAAGATTCTTGCTGCAAAATATGCCCGTGAAAACAAAATCCCTTTCCTTGGTATCTGTCTCGGGATGCAGATTGCTGTCATCGAGTTTGCACGATCAGTTCTCTGCTTGCATGATGCAAACAGCACAGAATTTAAACCCGAAACCAAACATCCGTGCATCATTTTCATGCCCGAGGTTCTTAGATTCTCTGTTTCTTTACTTAAGATGTCCTTTCGTTACTGTCTTCCTGATTTTAATATATTCTCATGCTTGGTGGGTGTAGGGTTCGAGAACTCATATGGGAGGCACTATGCGCTTAGGATCCAGAAAATCCTTCTTCAATGTCAAAGACAGCAAATCCTCAAAACTGTAAGAACCATTGATCTCTATATTTTACTTCGTTGGTCCTACATATGAATGCTGTAGATAACTTAGCATGATTCCGTTTACCTGGTTCTTATAGATACGGAAACAAAAGCTTTGTCGATGAGAGGCATCGTCACAGATATGAGGTAAGGATTTGTAAACAAATTCTTGATTAGCCACCAGTTAATATGACAAAAGTTGAATTCTTAATATACACATACACAATTCTCGCAGGTGAATCCTGATATGGTTGAACGCCTTGAGAAGGCCGGTCTTTCTTTCGCTGCGAAAGATGAAACTGGCAAACGCATGGAGGTTTGTTTTTTTTAATCTTTAAACTATTGTCTTTAGTTCAAATCCATTTACTTCAAATTCAAATCCTTGACTAATCTTGTACTGATATGGCAGATCATTGAACTACCAAACCATCCTTTCTTTATCGGTGCTCAATTCCACCCCGAGTTCAAATCCAGACCCGGGAAAGCGTCTCCTCTGTTTTTAGGTCCGAACACTTTTCTTAATCAACCTGAAAGATCCAAATTTATCAACTCAAGTCTTTTAAACAATCTTTTACACATTCTTCTTATTGCAGGACTCATTGCAGCGTCGTGTGGCGAGCTAGACACAGTCCTGAATCCAGCATCTGCTCATCAACATCTGATTAGCAACGGTCCAAAAAACGTTTACGTCAATGGAACTCCCAAGAAATCTTCCAATGGCTTGGCTGATGTAAGATATAATAACGGCTACTGCAATGGCCTCTACACTAGATAGCTGCATTTGCTGAATTCTCCCTCTTTCCCTCTCCTTTAAAATTATTGCTTTGTTTTCGATTTAGTTTGGATTTTGGTTTGCTTTCTTCTTAATAATCTTAGGATTTTTCCTCTGTACATATGATCCAAGCTTTTGTTCAGTTTTTTTAGACTCTTTTAACAGACTTATGTTCTGAAAAGACTCTAGAAACGTCTGAAAATGGCGGTTTGATTCCCCTGCTTTGTTTTTTTTTACATCAAAAGGGATTTCATATGATCATATGTACCGGTGGAACATTTTGTATCTCGATTTGGTCTGAAGGTGAACGAAGCATTTGATAAATAAAACTTTTAAGATAGAAACCTAACTGAAATTTGGAAGATAACATCGAATTCGTTTTGTGATGAAATATGCACTATTAAAAGAGTGCAGTCCTAATATGTTCATAATATAAGCACTATTCAATTCTTTGTTGATATTCTGGTCGTGTGCATTGAAAGTTTGAAACTCATACCCTTTAGGAGGATATTAAGCAATTGTAGTCATAAATTTTTTGGTTAAGATTGTTTTGTTGTCACTATTAATCTTTTATTGTCAACTTCTTTGTGATGAAAAATCATGTAAGCAGTTAGCGTCCATTGTTCTGGTAACCAAGCTTGATCACATCATAATTGAAATGAATTAATATTCCAAATTTCAAACTCAAAATGATGTATGTTATGAAATAGTTTAAACAAGAAAATATATATATATAGAGTTAAAAACAGATGAACTTTTAAATAGACACAATTGTTTGTAATACAAATATTGGAACAAAAGTTGTGAAGATCAAACACAAATCAAGTATCGTGAAAAGACACAACTTTAAATGAATAGATAAAGAATGAATATACATGATGCTTTCGGAATGAAAGCCTTCTTCGCTAACAAATCAAAATATATTGTCTTCCTTCTTTAGAATTGATTCAAATCTTATATGATTGTCGTTCTTGACTATCATCGATTGGATGAATTTTCCGTTCTTGACTATCATCTGTTGGATGAATTTTCCGAATCGTCTAATATCGACAACATCTTCTCTTACACTGACTAGTCTATTCATCCTCTTTATTCTTGTTTCGAAATAAGGGAAATTATCAAATATGGATAAAAATATATTCAAGTTAATGTATTTAAAAACCCTTTAACAAAAAAAAAAAGGTTGAATGTACTTAAATTAAATTACGAGGTGCAAAAGAACGTACCTTCGTAACTGTCGGTGGCTACTTAAGAGACCAACAAAGACTCTTTATCTCTTTTCATATCAAAACTCTCTTCTCATCTTCTTCCTCAGCAAGGTAAAAACCCTTTGATCTTCTCTTCAAATTTTCAAAACTATAGGTCTCTCTATCATTAAATCTTTTTTGTTTGTGTGTTCATCAGAGCTATGCAAGACCATTACAAAGCTATACTGGAAGAGAGACTAAATTATCTCCTAACAAAAAGAACCGTTTGTTATGCTGAGCTTGATACAGGAGGCAAAAGAATCGAATGTCCAAATTGTCACGTTCAAATTATTCCTACTCTTGGTAAAAATATCATAAGATCAATTTTTTTGCTTACGTTCTTTTTGTTACAAAAATGTTTTTTTTTCAAACTATTTTGTAATACTTTTGATGTGCGTTATTACTACAGGAAATTGGATTTCGGATAAGTTTCCATGTAAAAGCTGCAAAGCTAACTTATGTTTTAGAAACAGCACAGCAAAAACCGCAAGATGTCCTTGTCGTAATATTTCACGTCCTGTGCCAAGTATGTGTTCTTGAAAAAAATTCAAGAATTATAATTTTTTTTGAGTTCAGAAATTGAATTTATGGTTCTGATTTGTTTAATCTCATTTTTGTTTCATAAAAATGTTCTTTAGACAATCTTATAATGCTTGAGTGTGGTGGATGTCAAGCGAGAGTGGTTCATCAAAAAAGTGATAAAACTGTGAAATGTTCTGAGTGCAAACATATCAATATTCCAACTGTAATGTCTCTGATTTTCTCTTATCATTTAAAAATTGTTTGTGAATTTCTTCATACTCTAATGTTTGTTTTTGGTTTAGGTTGGAAGAACTTATGGGGTTCGTCCAGAGAACCAAGCTCCTCCGCAAGTTTACCAGATTGTTCCTCCTCAAGTTAACCAAGATCTTAACCAGGTTCCTCCTCAAGTTAACCAAGGTTACCGGGTTGTTCCTATTCCTCAAGTTAACAAGGATCTTCCTCAAACTTACAAGCTTGTTCCTTGTAACCGTAACGGGGTTGTTTCTCCTCAAGTTAACCAAGATCCTTCGCACCTTTACCAGGTTGTTCCTCGTGAAGTTAACCAGGTTCCTCCGCAAGTTAACCGGGTTATTCCTCCTCGAGTTTACCAGCGGAGGAACCATGGAGCAACTCCTGAAACTGAATCAACTGCGAGTTCTTCTTTCAATGTGAGTAAACGTTTAAATGTTATCTCCCTATTTCTCTTAAAATGTATTAGCATCTTGCTTTATATTTACCCTTGTTGCAGCCAAGACCTGAGATCATTGTAGTTGAATACCCTGATGATACTGTTGCTGAAACTGTAAGTCTGAGATTTTATATAAAATTCTTTTGAGGTGCTTGTTATTGATTCTTAAAACGTTTTGAAACATTGTGCTTTGATTTTGGTTGTGTTTTGTTAGGTGAGGAATGTTGCAATCAAGAGAGAAGTTGAAGAAGACAAGACAGAAGAAGCAGGAAGCAAGAAGATTCGTCTCTAATCGATGAAATAATTTGCATCGTTTTTTTGTTGTTTTACACATTTTGTTTCTTTTAGTTTTCCTCAGTTGATCAAACTCTCATGTGGAGATGTTTTTTCTTTAGTTTTTTTTTCTTTTTTTTTCATTTTATTTTATTTTTGCAGTACTTCTTTTAAATAATTTATGTAGTCAAAACTACTTTGAACAATTAAATTACACAGTCAAGATTCAAGAACCTTATTCTTGATTCAACAATTTGACTTCTTCGTACTTTTGTGATCTTTTTAAAAATAACAGTTTAGAAATGTAAGAAGTATTAAATTATAGGGACTGAAAGTGCATTTTTCATCTCCATTTTCCTTTAAAACGACGCGTTTTGGATAAAAAAGAAACGGTCAAACTCTTTACTTTTCCGACGCGGAGAGAAGAAACCCAAAGACGACGTTCGACGAACGATTACGGAAGAACAAAGATGGCATATAATCGTAAATAAACAGAAAAGTTGAGGGTAATTGAGTAATTTCAGCATCAAGATTAGATCATCGTACGGTACGGTGTGATCTAACGCTGATCCGTTAAAAACTGTGAGAGAGTGCGTTTTGTTTGGCGGGTGTTCTAACTTCCTCGTTTTTCCAGAAACTTGCTTCAAAATCATTTTCTTGTCTTTCTCTGTCTCAAATCTCTTATTTTTTATTTTATTTTATATATCAATCTTGATGATTTTTATTTTATATAGTTATATATAAATCTATTTAAAAGAAGATTCGTATAATCAGAGATAATCTCAAAGACACTTCTTCTTCTTGTTGAAATCTCAGCCGTTCGTTTGAGGTAAACTCCATCTCGACTTTTCCTTTTTTTTTTTTAAACGTTTTTTGTAATTTTGTACCTAGTAAATTAATTAAAAAGTTAAATGATATTTTAAGTTCCTGGTTAAGTTCGGTTTGTGTTTTTATTTTGTATTTTTATGTGTTCCTTGTTATTCGTCGTTACTAGGTCAATTAAATCTCTTTCTTAAATTTTCCCAGATTTGGGTATTTCTAACTTTAACTGCGAATTCAATTCTTATATCATTAATTGGGAAAAAAAGCAAAAACTTTGAAGCTTTTTCGTTTCTGATAGGTAAAGAAAATAAAAAAATCTACAAATTTATGAAATTCCCATAAATTATTTTTGATGTTCTTGTTGTTGTTGTTGATCCTTTGTTTGTGAATTCAATTAGGGTTAGGACCTTTTTTGTAACTTCTCTTTATTTGATATTTGTTTTAGTTTTTGGATATATATATATATTTTTGTTGATAATATCGTTTTCTTATTTTTTTTTTTCTCAGTTTCATTGGCTCTCAATCGAAGAAAACTTTAGCTTACAAAATCTGCTTTGAGTATTGATTTCAATTCATATGGATAATAATCTCAGCGTTGCTCCATTAGAATCTGAGATCAAAGAGGTTAGTTTTCTATGTTTAATTCGTATCTCAATCTATTAATCACTGAACAATTATCGTTTTCTTGTTTGTTTATGGTTAATTACTGAAGATTATAACCTTGAATCAAAAACAGTATTGATGATTTTTGTAATTAGCTTTGTTTTTTTTTATTCATCATAGATTTGTTTAGAGGCATTTATTTTCCGGATCTCGTTTGTTTACTTGATTTAGCAAAATACCTAATCATAGATCATATGAGATCTCTTCGTCTTTTTTTTTTTGATTTGTTAATGTTGAATTATTGATTAGTTTTGTTGTTTTTGCTTGATCTTGTAACGCTGATCATAGTTTCTAGCTCTGTTCATCGATATTTTTGTTCTTCTTCTCTAAAAATAAATTTATTTGTGTTTTTTAATACAGGATATGTCTTTGAAGAATCATCCTCCAGACGAGGATAAGGACAAGGACACTATTATGGAACAACCTAGTAGTCCACGTCATCGGAAGGTAAGAAGTATATGAATGATGTAATCTGATGCAATCCAAAAAGTTATAAATCTTGAAACAACTTTGATCTTACATAATATTTTTGTATATGTTAAAGGTTGTTGCTAGATGGTTACCGGATGAAGCGCAGAGGCCGATTATCGATGAAGCTCCGGTATTCACCCCATCGTTAGAGGTACTAATTGCTAGTTGTTTTTCGTGAAATCGTTTGAGATTTTTTTCGTTTCCTTTGTTGATGTTTTGAGTTCTTGTTCATTGATTTTCGCCCTTTCGGGTTATCAGGAGTTTGAAGATACACTTGCTTATATCGAAAAGATACGTCCACTAGCAGAGCCGTTTGGTATCTGTCGAATCATCCCACCATCGACATGGAAACCTCCTTGCCGGCTTAAGGAGAAGAATATATGGGAGCAAACAAAGTTTCCCACCCGGATTCAGAACGTCGACCTGCTTCAGAACCGTGAGCCGATGACAAAGAAACCAAAGAGTAGAAAACGTAAAAGGAGAAGAAACTCGAGAATGAGTTCGTCTAAGAGACGATCTGGTTCTTCTCCCTCTGAATCGACTTCATCTCCCGAGGCTGAGGAGAAATTTGGTTTCAATTCTGGTTCAGACTTCACTCTTGATGAGTTTGAGAAATATGCTCTGCATTTTAAAGACTCTTACTTCAAAAAGAAAGACTCTGGTGGAGATATAGTAAAATGGACACCGTCTGTGGATGAAATAGAAGGCGAATACTGGCGGATAGTTGAGCAACCAACAGATGAAGTGGAGGTATAGAAACAGACCATTTCACCAATAAAACACTTATACATCTATAAATAAACTAAAGCCAATTTTTGTATTTTTGCTTGTTATAGGTATACTATGGAGCTGACTTGGAGAATGGGGTACTTGGAAGCGGGTTTTATAAAAGAGCGGAAAAGTTAACCGGTAGCGATATGGATCAGTACACAGTATCTGGCTGGAACTTGAATAACCTGCCGCGTCTCCCCGGCTCTGTACTCTCTTTTGAAGATTGTGATATCTCTGGAGTTCTAGTTCCTTGGCTCTATGTAGGAATGTGCTTTTCATCATTTTGTTGGGTAAGTACACTTTCACACTTTGATCAATTTTAAACATTTTGTCTCTAATCTTCGGATGGTTGATATTTCTTTGTGTTGAACAGCATGTGGAGGACCATCATTTATATTCACTGAACTATCATCACTTTGGGGAGCCAAAAGTATGGTATGGTGTTCCAGGAAGCAATGCAACCGCTCTCGAGAAGGCGATGAGAAAACATCTACCTGACCTGTTTGAAGAACAGCCTGATTTACTTCATGGCCTGGTTAGGAAGAAAACAACTACTCGATTTTATTCTGTTTTCCTGTTTAGTCTCCACCATGTTTAGAGACTAACTCTTCCTTTTTACTGTGTTCAGGTTACTCAGTTTTCTCCTTCAATCCTGAAAGATGAGGGAGTCCAGGCTTACCGGGTGGTTCAGAATTCAGGGGAGTATGTATTGACATTCCCGAGGGCGTATCATGCAGGATTCAACTGCGGTTTCAACTGCGCAGAAGCGGTTAATGTGGCTCCTGTTGATTGGTTGACTCATGGACAGAACGCTGTGGAACTTTACAGTAAAGAGACAAGGAAGACTTCTCTGTCTCATGACAAACTTCTTCTTGGAGCAGCGTATGAAGCGGTTAAGGCCCTTTGGGAACTCTCAGCTTCTGTGGGAAAGGAAAATACAACAAATTTGAGATGGAAAAGTTTCTGTGGGAAGAACGGGACACTTACCAACGCGATACAGGTAATGAAAAACGGATACTACTTAGTCATGATACTGAATATAGTTTCCACTTTCTAATGCTTAATAAGTTCATTTTTTTCAAAAATGTTGATAGGCTCGGTTACAAATGGAAGAGGGAAGAATTGCAGCACTTGGTAGGGATTCTTCGATCCTAATGAAGATGGAGAAGGAGTTTGATTCAAACTGTGAAAGGGAATGCTTCTCATGCTTTTATGATTTGCATTTCTCGGCTTCTGGCTGCAAGTGCTCTCCCGAAGAATACGCTTGCCTTAAGCATGCAGATGATCTTTGTTCATGTGATGAGAAAGATGGATTTATTTGTCTCCGGTACACAATGGATGAGTTAAGCTCGTTGGTCAGAGCATTGGAAGGCGAATCAAATGATTTAAAGATATGGGCTTCCAAGGTGTTAGGCGTTGAACACAGTAATGAAGATCAGACTAAGACTAGTTCAGTTATCAGTGAGGAGAAGAAGTTAAAAGAAGTTTCAGTTATCAGTGAGGAGAGGAAGTTAAAAGAAGGTTCAGTTATCAGTGAGGAGAAGAAGTTAAAGGAAGGTTCTTTTGATCTGAACATTGACTTAGAGTTGGATTATCAAGAAGACCTTAAAGAAGAAGTCAGCACTAGTGGCGGCGAGTTAACCGCCTCAGAGAATCTTGGTGTATCGGTTGAGCCTATAAACCTCGGGTTCTTGATTTTTGGAAAGCTTTGGTGCAATAAGCATGCTATATTCCCAAAAGGTACTATCTTTGAAAAGCCCTTTTGTTAATGTTACTTAATCAGAAATTTGCTGAAAAGATTGTTGAGGTTTTGTTTTTTGCAACTTTTACAGGATTCAGGAGTCGTGTCAAGTTCTACAATGTGCTTGATCCAACAAGAATGAGCAATTACATCTCCGAGGTTTTGGATGCAGGACTCATGGGTCCATTGTTCAGGGTCACTCTGGAAGAATCTCCAGACGAGAGCTTCTTCAATGTCTCAGCCCAACAATGCTGGGAAATGGTGTTGCAGAGAGTTAAAGATACATCCACCAGTCTTGGTCTTCCTACATTATCGCAGTTTGAGGGTATCAACGGCCTTCAAATGTTTGGTTTCCTCTCACCCTCTATAGTTCAGGTAACAAATCTAAATCCAAGCCTTGTTCTTCTTCATTCAAAACCTATCCATGATCTCAACTCTAACACAACTTAATCCTTCTCTACAGGCCATTGAAGTTCTTGACCCAAACCATCGACTCGTTGAGTACTGGAACCACAAGGACCAAACTTCATCAGACTCAAAAGATCACTTCATATCATCAAACTGTTCCGCAAGTTTAACCAAAGGAAAACTTTTCGGAGTAGATTTGATGTAAAAAGCTCAAGAAGCCAACGAGACTGTACCAACTCCGAGACAACAACAACAGTGACATCTTTTAGATAGATAGAATAAATTTCTTTCTGATTCTTTTTTTTTGGAGCATTTATTCATAATCTTTTGTTCTTTTTATCACTGCAAGAACAAATAACCTAACCTTAGCGTTAGTGAAGTGTAAACAAGAAAAGAAAAGTCGTAATAATAGTAATTCTTCTTTCAAATCAAGAAAATTTGCTATTGCTTAATGTGAAAAACTTTACATTATGTGCAGAATTTCACAAAATCTTGAAAAATATAAAACTTCACTCTAAAAATCTTGTAAAACACAAAAAGAGATAATACTTTCACGCCGTTAGTGGAATCTTGACGGTTAATAGGCCGGAAAAAGTCGCCGGAATGTTGAGTCAGAACAAAGTCAGAGCCGCCAATGGAAGCAAGAACGAGCCAGTTGAGTAATGTATAGTGGATGCAGAAACAGAGGTTTGATTGTTGTCACTGTTGGATCCACCACGAGGACGACGACGACGGCGATGAGGATATGGACGGAGACTATCAGCTAAAGTAGTATCACCGGTACCAAAATCGCCGTAACGTGAGAAATCAAGCGACGAAGCAACACCGTGAATAGCGATCGAAGAAGAGAGGAAAAGATCCGGTTCAGAGACAAGAACGCCGTCGAGAGTATAACCGGAAACAGAGTTGTTAGTGACGACGATTGAGTTTCCCGGGAGAAGAGTCGGAAGACGAGAGAGTGGTTTCAAGAGACGGAGATCAGTGAACGAGAGTCGTTGAGGTACGATGTGGTAAGCGACGGAGAGACGACGAGGATAAGCATTATTGTCGCCGGTGGTGGAGGAGGAGGAGACATCGGCGGAGTCGAAATCGCTTGGGACGAAAATGGTGGCGGAGAGAGGGATTCCTAACTGGTCATCGACGGCGGAGAGGAAATCAGCGGCCCAGTCACGGAAATCTCCGGCTCCGATCATTGCTTCGATGATTCTGTCGGCGTGTTGGTGATCTTGCGACGTGAGATACGCTGGAGAAGCGGCGGAAGTTAGGAATGTGACGGTGGTGATGAGGAAGAAGAGAAGGAGATGGCCTGAGGTAGCCATCGGAGAATCAAATCGGCGGCGAAGTTGTAACAGAAAGAGAGAGAATCTTTTTGAGTTCGTTAGGATTCTTTAACAATGTAGACGAACTCTGTTCTTTGCTTTATATACCTCTCTGGTTTTTAACAAACCGGAGTATGAAGAAAGGATTAGTTAAACCGGTTCCGGTTTGGTTTAGAGATTGAGATACTGACTTAAGTTACCAGCAAAGTCTCTTACGTGCCAAAGATGTGGTCTTCAATCATCCGACGCAAGAGATTCGTCGATTCTTACTACGTTTTGTCCTCAACGCGATCGCGTTTTACAATCACGTTTAGTCACAGAGTATGATACCAAGCGTTTGTTCATCTACTCTTCTTCGTACGAGAAAGAGGAATCTTCTTCTTTGGTCCCCAGGCTTGACATTACAATACCTTCTGTGACCATGTGTTACGCCGCCAAGTGTCCCTCCATCCGCGGCTTTGTCGGTTGTTGTAGTGATACTGATACTCACTTCATTTTATGTAATCCGACCACGAAGCAAGTCATTACCTTACCCATTAAAGGACCTCGAGCATGCTTTGGATTAGATATGATCTTGTTGGTGATCACTTCAAAGTATTTGACTTGGTGACTTCTCCTGACCAGTTTCTTGGTTTTCTAGTGCACGAGGTTATTACACTTGGACGAGGAGGAAGAGGAGAAACACCCAATCAGGTTACCACCGCTCCTTATTACCCTGTAACCAATAATGGGTTTTGCATCAATGGTTTCCTCTATTATGCTGCTTGGGCTCGGAGAATGAGAATGGATCCGGTTATTGTGTGTTTTGATGTTAGATATGAGAGTCTAAGTTTTATCACAGCGCCTAGGGATGTTGGTGGCTTGGGAGAGTGATTCAGTTTTGATAGAATACAAAGGGAAGTTAGCTTCCATTGTTAGAGACCCTTTGAGCTTCTCTCGCTTTGATTTATGGATATTAGAGGATGTCAAGAAACATGATTGGTCCAAGCAAACCTTTGAGCTTCCCTTCCCTTTGGTGAATAGGATGACTTCCCCGGGCACCAACAAGGCTGGTGAAATCATTTTTGCCCCAATGTTTCTGCCATATGATGTTGAGCAACCCTTCTTCGTTTTCTACTACAATGTAGAAAGAAAAGACATCAGAAGAGTTAGGCTCCAAGGAATTGCAGACAATAAAGAGTTTCGGCACCGATATGGACTCATTGTCGCAGCCCATATGAGCGTCTCTATCTCACCCGAACACATCGAAAGTATTGCCTCTTTATAATGTGTTTTATTTATTTAATTTCTTGAAGGACCTTAATGCAAGAGCTTGGCAGACTCTGGTTTTTGCTTTTTTCTTTCTTTTTCTTTTCATCAATAATTAAGTGTTGGCTCTTCAACACCAACCAAACTACTGTTTGTTATCTTACTACTACTGATGATTTGCATCTTCTATCCTGTGTTACTATTCTTTAGTGTTATTCATATTTTGAATGTTTTTCTAAATCTTGTTTTTGCTCAGAATAAGGTATTAGACCATTTTGGCTCCAACTGCTTACATTGTGATTATATAGTTCACCAAAGTGATTATATAGTTCAGTGTTGAACACAACTGCTTACATGCTGTGTCAAAACAGCTCTACAAACTCTTGATTTTTGATGCTAACCCACTGAGTATTCTAACCACTTCCATATCTAAGAAATCACAACAATTGCTTTAAACGTTAAATTCACAATGACTTAAAAGTTACAATACTTGAGTTCTGTTTTTCAGAAACTCTTTATAAGAACTGGATAGATTCCCCAAAACCGAATCCGAGGACTCACTTCTCGAACCATTAACCTCAAAACTGAAACTTTCTCAAACCGGGACAGGACCTTGGAGTCCAGCTCTGAAATGGTAACCGTGACGCAACCTCCCCTTTTCTTGTTCAGTGCACGTTTCTAGCATATTGTTGAACGTCTACGTGTGTGGCAATACTCTTGATTCAAAATAGAAGGTGTAAGCTGCTTTCTTGCTGTTTCCCGAGCCGGGGCAGTCTCGTGCATGTGCTTAGTGTTGTTGGTGAACTGATCAGTAAACTTTTCCTGAACGAAGCAGCATTTGATTCTATATGTCCCGGGCGGGCTTGGCACCAGATATTTTAGCTTGAAATCTGTTTCATCTAGGAATATATGTCTCTTGGTGTATTATCTTTTTGTTTTGATATTATAAGGCTCAACCTTTTTCTTCATTGAGGCACTTGAAAAGAATGTGAAAGAAAAAGTAGCTCAACCTTTTTCTTCATTGAGGCACTTGTAAAGTATGTGAAAGAAAAAGTAGCTCAACTTTGTCAATGTTTCAGGCTTGCACTCACCCTTTTGTATGTTCTTACGATAATTTTTCTTGGTCTTATGAGTATACAAAAATTTTCTTCAAGCTCTAGAAATCATAGTATTCTAAAAAAAGAGGCCGAGTATATAAGTTAATGCCAGAAATTTGACAATGCAGGGAGGATTACTAGATGGAACATTGATTGCGATAAAGAAGCTATCTTCCAAATCATGTCAAGGCACAAAGATTTGTAAACGAGATCAGTATGATCACTTGCCCCTGCAGCACCCGAATCTAATGCTAGAAGTAGTGTTCGATGTGATGATCATTTCCAACGCTGGTGCTGACTTGCGATTCAAGCAATCATCTCTGTCTTCTGATTATGTGGTGTCGATTGTTACGTCATCCTCTGAATCTGCTTTTGATCTGTAGTCCATTGTTTTTACTAGACAGTAGCCTAAACCCATTGATTATATCTACACTAGTGTTTCTCTCGTTGTGGGCTAGATTCGGTTCCAGACAAGCGTGTGAAATTATGGCTCATTTTGTAGTATAATATATAGTATATCTTTTTTTTTTTTATTTAATTCATTATAAAACTAAGTCTACTTAATTGATAATTGCATTGCGTTTACTTACTATGAGGCTTCGTCCCTTGAACATGACTTCAAATGCTTTTTGTTAATGCAAGAGCTACTAAGTTTTGAATTAGTTCACGATGTAACTCAGGATTTCTCAAAAAACTCTTTCGATTAATAGAAAATATGTTTACAAGGTTTCTCCTTTAACACTATTTTCTATTCTCACTAAGTCTTGTTCCTTAATCACAGACGATTAAGAACAATAACTCTCCCTAAAACCCTTAGCTCTCTTTAAGCCTCTAGTTCTCTATTTCTCTCAAACTAAGACTTAATAGCTAGGAATTCTCTCTCGTGATTGTGCTAAGCTTTCTGCAAGCCTTAGCACTCCTATTTATACTAAATAGGTTGAGACCATACAACAGGTCAATTTCCAATTCTAAAACTAATTGGAATGGACAATTTCCTTTTTCTTTATGGAATAGGAAATTGTCCTTTGTCTTCATGTTTTCCTTTTCTTCTTGCAAAAGGAAACTCTTCTGTCTTCTAGAATCTTCTCTAAGCTTCTAGTCTTTACTTCAAACCGCCATAACAAGATTCTGCATATTTCCTTAATCTTGTTCATGTTGCTCTGTTCTCTTGAGTTACTTCGTGAGGTATCTTGACTACTTCAGGAACTCCTTCAGAAGCTGCATCTTCAATCTCCCCCTTTTTAATCTTGTGTCTCTCAAGCACCTGTATTTGAAATCTTCTTACTTTTGTAGACATTTTTCATCACAAGCAATCACAGACTTTAAACAATCGAAGTTATTAAAAAATTTTAGCAATTTCGTCCAACAAAGACTAACTCCCCCTGAATCTGACAAAGTCTGAAAAACAAGCAACAACAAAGTCTGGAGTTCAAACAAAAATAACAAATAACTACTCCCCCACAACACATGAACTCCCCCAGAATCACAGCCATACTCCTTTTCTCCCTCTGCTTGAGAGCTCAAGGTTAAAAACCAAACTTCCTACAGTCTTTTGGACAAAGGATGACTGAGAACAAGTTGTTGTATCACTTCATTCATCTTGGAGATAGCCTGAGCTGTGTCTAACAAGGCCATAAACATTCACTCTCTATCATCCCCATCAGGTTGGTCCTTTTTCCTGGACTTATTGTAATCCTCAGAGTCATCCTCTAAGTTTCTTGTGACAGCTTTATCCGGAAAAGTGTCACGTCCCCCTTGTGAAGAATGC